TTTGGACATTGTGTGTGCTACCTAGATGTGTGTAATTGCGCTATTTTTATAACGCGAGCGCAGTTTCAAAGCGTCTGTGAGCAAGTAGACGACGCGACAACCACGATGACCAAGCCAGGGCACGCGCGCTTTGGTGAATCCGAGAGACACACGACGGCTCATGCGCGGTGAACCGCGCCTCATGTCGCCGCGCCCTTCGCGTATTCTGCAAGAGCGAAGTTCGCTTCCCCGCAATACTTAAAAGTAAACATCTCGGACCCCTGGGATGCTCTCCTCCGCAAGCGGAGCACATGCTGTTACTCTGTGACACGTTATGTTGAAGGGCCATCTAGAGGCTGAGCTTTAAAACCTTAATATTTCATAGAGTAGGCTGTAGTTACCATAGCAGCCGTCCCCTAAACGGTGGCGCGTCGAACGATGGGAGGTGTCCCTTCAAGGTTGTGGGATTTGTTAACTTTACCCCCTGGTCCTCATTGAGGTAGATACCCACTCCGTGGTCCGCTCTTTGCGCGGCTACTGCCGGTTCCGTCCATTGACTGCTTTTTTTGGCGCACCGGTGGACGAGAGACAACACCAACACAGTAAGTCTGTTTTCGACGTGTTTATTGACTCAAATGCCAACACAATTTTCTCTTAGACATGAAAGGTCTGGGTGCTGGCTCGATTGCCAGTATCACCCGGTCGGTTTCCCGCGCTGCCGCAATAGACAGATTCACAAAAAGTCGGAGGCCCACAAAGAAAAACTGAGCTCCGTAGAGCCAGGGCCTCCGCCGACGAGAGCCCCCGGCCCTCCTTCGGGGCAGGCTTATGTAGCCTCGGAAATGTGGACGCGCCCTGGGAGGCCACTACCAGTCGCGTCCATTATAACTTTCAAGGGCATGCCAAAGGCAACATTCACCCAAAGTGGGCAAAGGAGAACCGGCCGAAACGTGTACTATTTGAGCGTCTTGGTGCTTTTTAAACATTTAGAAGGTGGAGACATATCTTATGTGTCTTTACTTTCTAAATGTTTAAAGAGAACCGGCCCCTTCGGGGAACTCGGCCTCGTGGTTCCTTGTATCCGGGAGGCCGACGCCGTTGGTGAGGACGATTCCCACTGCAAGCTCGAAGCTAGACCTAGATAGGGATATAAGGAAGCCCATGGTTCCCACAGGGGTAGAGAGGGGTAGCTGCTAGCAAAAGCTGCGTACATAGACAGTTCCGTAACTGCGTTGATCAAGTTACGCTGGCGGATGCACACCAAGGTCCCAATCAAAGTACGAGACTGACTCAAAAAGTAACCGCTATTTATTTTTCATTTGCCTGGTAGAATAGACATCATAGAAAGTCCTTTATTACTTTTCATCATAGTCACCTCATCGCTCGACACATGTGCGCCAACGCATCACCGTTGCATAGATGTCGCAAGAAAAAGTCTTGTGGCTGACTCTGGGGCCAGAAATTGATCGCCGCTTTCAGGTCATCATCTGTATCAATCTTCTTTCCATGAAAGCGCCCTTGAGGGGTCCAAATAGGTAGAAATCACTCGGTGCGAGGTATGGCGAGTATGGTGGGTGCGGAATACACTCGAACCACACACCTTTGATTGTTTTGTTTTTTTCGCTGTCGTACGTGCTGTGTGAGGGCGCGCATTATCGTGCTGCAGAAACACCCCTGAGCTGAGCAGTCCGCGACGCTTTGACCTAAATGCAGGCTTCAGGTGGTTATCAAGCACGTTGCAATATGATGCATTGTTTTCAGTGAGTCCTTTGGGCATGCAATATTCAACTACTGGGCCTTTATGGTCCCAAAATACCGTGAGCATTATATTGCCCACCGTCAACGCTGTCTTCAACTTCTTTGCCCTTCCTGACGTTGTGTGTTGCCACTCCTCGCTTGCTCGCTTTGTCTCTGGCTGGGCGTAGTGCACCCGACATTCATTAGTGGTGAAAATGCGTCGAAGAAAATGATCTCCATCAGCTTTTAGCGTCGCAGTGGCGTCTCACAAGCATCCACACACCGCTCCATAAGGTCTGGCGTAACTTGTTTTGCTACCCACCTGGCGCATACTTTGTGGTACTGCAGAGTACCATGAATGATATGTTGTGTCGAGCCGCGACTAATATTCAATTCTTCAGCCACTTTATTGATGGTCGCACGTCGCTTCCTGTCTGTGAGCCGTTCCAGAGCAGAGATTGCGTCCGGCGTCGTTAAAGTGTGAGCCCGGCCGGAGCGAGGTGAGTCCCCCAAACTGTACGCTCCACTTAGAAAGTTTTTGAAACACTTGTACACCTGCCGAAGCAATACACAGGTGTCGGCGTATTGCTTCATCATCCTGCGATGAATATCCTCAAATTTTTCGCCCTCTGCGTCCAAAAATTACTTAAACGAACGCTGCTCCTCTCTGGTGCGTGCTAACGAGGGGGCGGCCATTTTGAAAGTACTGTGGTCACGCCACATTTCCCATCAAGTCGCCAGGCAGGCGTGCACAGCTCAATTTTGCGGTAGATCAACACATATTTTCAGCGCAGCATTTTATCACTAGATTTGATCTTCTCACGGCTAAATTTCGGTTACTTTTTGCCTCTGCCTTGTAGACGACTCACGTGAGACCCAATATTATATCACCCTTCGGCTATACGCAAAATGACCAATCGCCAAACGTTTTCTTTTAGCTTTGAGAATTTAGGCAATCGTGCGAGCCACCCTTGAGTATTTTTATTATTTTGTCGCATTTGTTTCCTTTTGGTTTGTTCCATAGTTCATTGGGCAAAAGCCTTTAGGATTATTGGAAATGTACGGTTGCCCTGGAACTGCATCATGGCTCCATAATACGAACTCAGTTAATGCGGACACCCCGAGATGAAGAAAGCATTTTCGGGGAACTGGGTAAATACGTGCACTTTTGTCTCGGTATTACGGAAAACTCACGTTGTGATTGCTTTTTTTTTTGTGGGGGGAGGGGGGGAGGGGAAAAGGGGGGGGGGGGGGCCGGACGTGTCTACATTCATAAGATATCCCTGTTGTTATTTGGTTTCTTCATTTTTATCAGGCCCTGATTGTCCGATGGCGCGGACATTACCATGAATAGACCTTAAAGCTAACAACAAAATTGAGGACGAAAACAAGCGCCAACGTCAAGCTAAAGCTCGTAATTTCCTATCTGCCTTTTTACGATATTATACGTGACAAAGTGAATATTAAGTTTATCACCCAACGATAGAGCTATCTTTAGATATCCGCGGTCGTGACGTACTTATACGGGATGGCGTTCTGCGAGTGAAGTCTCAAGCGCCAATAAGAAATATAGAGCGCCTGAATTTCGAGATTGTGGAACATCTCAAGCAATGATCATTGGTCAACCGTTATCATGCGCGTTAGGAGCGCTATATTGATGGTAATTGCTTTCTAAAACCAATTGACTCACAAAGTTGTTTTTTCTTACTCGGGTTTTATAAATACTTGGAACCTCGGGAATTGATTAAAAAAAAGACAAAAGCCCCTTCGCTTCGCCATCATTTTTATTTCGATGTTTCAAATAATGCATCATTAAATTCGAGTTAAAATGTTCCTATTTCATTTCACTGTTTACCTGATAACATTGATAGCCACTCCGAGTTTTTATCGTGGGATTCTTTGTATTGCCGTCACGCTTCGCCAAAAAAGTGTTCGTAATCAAGTGTACAGTATCTTCCAGTATAAGAGAGTCAGTAATACTTCATTTCTTTATTGTATTAAAATGTAAAACTCGGCACAATGCTGTGTTTCAGTCCTTATCGGCAAGTATTAAATGCAGAATTCGTACACATGAATACGATTTTTTTTTTTTGTATCTAGATCAGGAGTTTTTAAACCCAGGCCCGGGGGTCAAATACGGCCCTTCCAATCATTCAGACCGACCGGCAACTGATTGCGGTTTTTGAAGTGAAACCCGGCCCACCTCCAACAAAAACCGCGAGCAAAAAAAAAAAAAAAAGCGCGCAAAAACATTGTTTTGCGACGCGCACCAAACACGCAAAATAAAATACCAGAAAAAACGAGGGAACTGCAACGTGACGCGGGTCCTCTAGCCCAAAATATTTATTGCACATTGTCATCACCGGCGAATCCCCAGTTTACTATCTGTAAAACAACGTTAGAATTGCTGTACGGTCTCTTGTATGCCTTACTTAGTGTCTTGTGTAATAATTATAGTACATAGTCGTAATTAGTTCAACGCGTCTCCTTCGTCTTTTGCACCATGTGAACATGCGAAAGTTCATATGCTCTTCGATTCATGTCATGTGAAAGGGTTCATAGAATTGTGTATTTTCACATTTATCTAAACAACACATTTTTAAATAAAGAGTATGCATTCACCCACCCATGAATATATTTTAAAATTTGTACCGTAATCTAAATTTCTGTATTTAATGCTTATATAAGATTTTTTATTGTATTTTTTTAAAATTCGACACAGGACTCTTTTTTCACCGGCCCCTTAGCCAGAACGTTTGGACAAACTTGGTTTAGGATACCACATCTTTCATTTTGTGCTACAAAAATAATTAGGTTTTTAATGACATATATAATTTATTAAACTCATTATTACATCGCCAAGTTGGGTGCTGGCGAAATTAGCGTCCGCTCCGACCTAGTCAGGTCGTCGCACTGATAGTGCAGGCTTGGTCGTGGTGGTTCTCTGCGTCCTCCCCCGTCGCATTTCATACCTTTGGCCGGAGTCCGTGCTAGCTAGTACCAAAAGACAACGGCATGTGCTTGCCGCCTTAAAGGCCGACGACCAAACTCGAGATTCTGCAAGGCAGAAGATCCTCCTCACCATGGGGGAGGAGGAAACAGGCAATGGTGGACAGGTTAGAAGACGGGAGAGGAGGAAGAGAGGGAAAAGTGAAAAGCGCGAACTGGTCGTCGGTCTCCAAGTGTGGTTGCTTACAAGGAGGAACATGAGCGTCAAGTAGCCGAATTCACCTCAAATCAATTACTTTCACACGAGCTCATCAAAATAAAGATCGAACCAGTGAAAACTCTTCAAATGTTTATTTCGTCAAAAGTTTTACAGCAAGAAACAAAAAATGGTAATGCTCCTGAAAAAATCGAACCACCGCTAGATATTTGAAGACCTTCACAATACCCTTCGTATCGACAATTTTCCTTGCACAACATTGCCCAGTGCAGTTTCTTTCGGTCGGCGATCATTGACTGGTTCCCACCGAATCCGAATTGCGAAGTTTTTTAACGAGGGCGGTGAGCGGCCGTTCCAGGCTCTCGATTCTTTTTTCAAGCTCCTTGAAACAAATTGGGAAATGTGAATCATCAGTACCGCGCACCTATACTCTCAGAACAGAACGTAATGGCGCAGGGGAGCTGGTGAATATTCAACATTTTGAGGCAACCCGAGACTGAGGAAAGACGAAAGTTGTCACTAAGAGAAGGAGAACTCCTATATAAAGGTTATTTCTCGAGAAACGGGACCCATCGCTACTGCTCCGAAAAGCGCGCATTGCACAGAAAGAAAAGTTCATGTCCTATTGGCGTCTAACAAGGGGCATTTTTTTAGGAAAATTAATGACGTTCGGTATAGTTAGGTTCTCATTACCTTTGAGTAATTAACCTTTTTTTTTAGTAAATTTTAAGGTATATCTGGAATTAGAGACTTTGTGGGCACCATCGAAAACCACTGAAGGCTGAACTTCATAGAGCGAAAAAGAGATTAATTTCACCCGGTTGCGTTCGCTATGCGTGTGCCGTCGAAAAGAGTGGCGGTTGCGTCGCGCGCAAACCAAACGCGCCGCCAGGTGAAGTTCATGGGTTTTTGGCCGCATATTCGCTCCAGAACTGCATGGCAGCTAGTGAAAGCATTTTAAAGCGTTCGTAGAAACACTCAGTATAACAGCAAATAAATATATATATATATATATTTTTTTATCAAGACACTTCCGGGACTGCGGTCCTGATACGCCATCGCCTAAGCACCGCACAACCAACCTGGGCAAAAATGCATTCTTAGATTGACGCAGGTGAAGCCAAGGACCAAACCGTGTTATTGTATTGTCATTCGAACAGCACAGCATTTTTGTTCACCGACCCGCACCATACTTCGCTCCTAGGAGAGAGATAGACGAGCCGATAGTCGCGCGTTTGGGTCATGGGTAGCAGAACCCCAGGCGCAACCATGCTCTCCGACAGAAAACCGAATCCCAGAAATGCTTTCAAATTGAGGTGTTGTTTGTTTTTTGTTTTTTGTATTTTTGTAACCCAATAAAATGCTACGTTTCATTGTAATTTGGGTAAAGCACGCTGATTTCGTTATTTTTGTTGATGCCAAGAAACACAAGTGAAACCATTACATGAAATTGACTAATGGTTCATTACTGCAAAGTCATTAAGAGTCTAATTATACCAAACGTTCTTAGGTTCGTTTTTCTTTAGAAATTAGTTTTTATGGAAGACACTAACGGGACAAACTTTTTCTGTGCAATGCGTACGTTTTGCAGATACAATTTGGCCAACGTCTCGCAGAACACCCCACATACGAGTGCACAAGGCATACCACTAGACGCCTATACGAGGAACACAACAAAAAAAAACACAAAAAAAACGTATACTCACAAGGATTACTTGACTAAGAAGTGCATTGTGTGGGTCCTTCTCATGTTTCTGCATCTCTTTCCTCGGGGCCTTAAAACGGTTGTCGAAAATAGCTTGTAATATGAGCAATATATTGTGGTTACGCATTAGCTATATGAAAATGTCAAACAATAGCAAAATACATTTTCTCATTGGACAATTTTCCGGACAACAACTTCCATCCCATTTTTTCATACACACCCAGTTTGACAAAGTCACTCGGTTTCCTTTTGGCTTAACATCTTTTGGCTTAACATATTTGAGGCAGTGCATTTAAAACGTGGGTAAGTTTAGATTATTAAATTTATTTGCGAACTATCAGATGCTTGTCCTTTATTATAGATCAGCACTTTGCCTCATTCGCCCTAATAAATGATATATGCTACATGTTTTTTTTTTTTTTTAACTACATGCATTTTTGGTTTGTCGGCTACTGAAAAACACCATATTTAGCCTTATGCTTTCTCCATGACAAGGTTTTAGTCTAAAACTTATTTTTTAGATATTTGTCGGGGTTCAAAGACTACGAGTGCTTATCTTCCGAAGTATAAAGTTAAAATGAGTTACTAAATTAGAAATAAACTTGTTGGATATGACTGGCAAGAAATAGTTTGTACATGAATATACGTGTCTGAATTAATCTAAGGTATTGGCACTGTTACACCTGCTCATGTAACAAAACAAAATATACTCACTTTCTTGTTGCATCCAAAGCCTTTAAAAGCACATTCAATCAAAGCCTCTTCGCAGACTTTAAGGTGCGCATCTTTCTGCGAGATCAGAATCAACAAGGCTTAGCTATTACCAGGCTATTAACAGGCGACATCTTCTTTACAGCGTGGCATAAAACAAAGTGACAGGGATTTTTTCACCGCAAAAATCAATCGCCAAACGCTCAGTCTCTGGCCACATAATATGTAGCACTAGCGGTTCATACCAGGCTCCAGTTTCTGAACGAACCGTTATCTTATTCGAAAGTTACGACTGATTTTTTAACCTTTCAATGTGTAAACGTGGCTCAAACTCCGTAGTATGCGCAAATCAGGGCCATGTATTTGTATGCGTTTTCGGCCTCCGTTTTGCCACTAAAAGCTTCCTAAAGCATTTAAAGTTTTAACGAGATAATGGCTCATTACAAAACTTTGGCGTCCGGTTCCGGCCGCTGGATCTACATTTGGACGGGAACTGCGCGTGTAACGATGCGTAGTTTATTTTTGAAATTAAAAAGACACACCTTTTTTTCCCGAAGCACCTCGTATACATTTGTAATTATCCCAAACAGGCCATATTTTACGCATTTTTTATATCGTATACATTCCATGAAAACGGGCGCAAAAAGTTTGACAACTCTTGAATCTATGATATATATCAATAGTAGGAAGGATGTGAAACATTTTAGGGGACACTTCTTATAATATTGCAATTACTTGCAACAACGCGAGGCTGGCACACGTGTTTTTAACGATAGCATTTAAAAACTCGACTGCCAGCCTCGCGTTTTCCCGAGTAGATTTAAGTTACTCGAGTATCAGCGGGTGCGTCTTGCCAGCACTTCCTTGACAGCTTTCCTGCCTGCGCGTCACCTGACATGACGTCACGTCCGGGAGGCCTGCACGGGCGCTGATTGGATGCGAGTGGCACGTTAGCGTTCGCGTGGGATTCATTTCCTATCATAGTTTCACGCGAACGCTGACGTGGCACTCTTATCCAATCAGCGCCCGTGCAGGCCTCCCGGACGTGACGTCATGTAACGTGACGCGCAGTCTTGCAAGCTGTCTAGGACGTGCTGGTCTTCCTGAGTAGATGCCCAAGCTTCGTTTCAGCTAATGTCCAGACACAGCCGACGCAACGAGCGCGAGCATGTGGCCCTGAACAGTGCTTGCGTTGCAGACAGCGCGTGCTTAGCAGGGACGCTGAAACCCTGGAGCTCGCGCTTGTAGCGCCGCCTGCGTCTGGACCCGCGGAGTCACAACACGTAATCAAGTAGACGCCAACGAGGCGCTCTTCTCCTAGCACCTGCTAAACGGGCAAGCTATCCAGGCTGTAAGCGTTCTCGCCGAGAACTGCTATCATTCTCTTCTTTTGTTCTTTATTTTCTAATTAACTTTCCTTTCGGTGCGCCTCCTGGATAGGGCCGTTCGCGAGAAATTCTCGGCAGTGCGCGAGTTGCGTCATCTCTGTTCTGTTAGGTCTCGCTCCCGGTGTTGATACTGGAGTTGCCATGGCGCCGAAAACGTCGGCGAGGCGATCGAATCGTGCTCGATGCTGCATCACATCCTGTCTTATTATTAATTAATAATAATATAATTAATATTATTATGCTTATTGTATTAACAGGGTTATAAAACACATACGTCTTTATATGCTTAATGGTTTTATTATGATTTGCAATATTCCAGAACTAAAAACCGCTATTGCGAGGCCCTTGTTCAAAGGTGGGGCAGCAAATCTGAAGACCACAGCCCGATTTCTGCGTTACCGATTGTTGCACAAATTCTCAAAAAACACCCGTTTTATGTTATGTCGTCATTTCTCTTTGATTTTGTTTAGGGGAGGGGAACACGGTCATTGTTCGAAGTCTTTTGCAGATTTACTACTTTCCAGTACTGAGAGACACTTTGTTAGCTGTGCTATCTTTTAGATGTACCGAAAGCATTTTATTCCATTAGCCATTCACTCCTACTAAAGAAGTTGTATTGTTTTAAGCTTTGTGTTCGTTTTTTTAATTTTCTCTCTTCTTTCAAACTACCTTACAAATCGCTCACAACTTGAAATTTTAACAGAGCCGCGAGGTCCGCGAACAATAATGAGAGCAGATGTACCCCACGACTCAATTCTTACTCCATTTCTGTCGAATTTGTTAACGATATTCGAAGATTTATTTCTGGGGCCGAACCATATCATTATGCAGATGACACGGTCATTGTCATGCGACATATTAATTACGAAGATGCTGCCCCTCTCCCCCTTTCAATGCAGTGCGCTGCGACTACGGTCATGAACTGGTTTCAACGAAATCTTAGTAACATCAATGTAAATAACACCAAACGAATTTCAACCAATCAATCTATCAGTCTTTATTGCAAACTTGAAACACACACTGAGGGTGGCAAGAAACGAGCACCCCCAGTTCGTTTTTCTTTCCATATTCCCCTTAAGTACGTTCGGCTGGATTTTTCCATTATTTTAGATCACTCAAAATGCTATCTTGCAGATGCCTCTATTTAGTATATGTTAAATGTGCATAATACCTCGGCATTGTTTTCGGCTTAACTGAGATTCCCATGGAGCCAAGCCGGCGGTGTCTAACCACGAAAAACGGCACCTAAATTCTCAATTTCCCCATTGGCTGAGCGAAATGGCACCTGAAGTCCCATTGGCTGCGACGCGTCGTAGTTCCAAGGAACTCCACCACACAGAGAAGCCCACTCCTGGCGCTGCGGCCCGCGCGCCAAAAAAAGGGAGAGGGTGGCGCGCGCGAGGGCGCCACTCGCTCCCCCCTCTTAAGTCAAGTGTCAGGAGTGAGTGTCCGGACGGGAGGGAGGAGCGAAAACACCCGCTCCTTCTCCCTGTGCACTACTGTATCACGTGTTGTTCGCTCCGCTTTGAGACATGTCGCGCCGCCCGGCTAGGCCACTGCGGAGGAGAGCGGGGCGCGCTGCGTGTAGGAATGCGCTGCGTGTAGGAATGTATTTGAGTTCCTACACATAAGCAGTCTTAAGTGTCCTGCTGTATTTTTTCTGCAAAACTGAGGGGTACTTGTTGCCTTTTATAAGAACAGATCACCTATGATCTTTTAGTACGTAAAACATTGATTAATGCGTTTGCATATAGTGTATTAAGATATTAGGTTACGGTGTTTGGACACTGCTCCGGCTACTGGCATGACAAAATTGATTGTATTTTGAAAAATAGATTGAAATGTGCTTCCTATGGCATGCGAAGTCGTGGCTCAAAACCCTTTAAATTGACGTGGCCCCTAATAGTAATTGCCGCCAATAACGCAATTTCAGCGTGACCCATAAACTTTTTTACCGCAGTCGTGAACGGTGCTGGCTGCGTTGCGGTAACGACTCCAGCGGCCGGAATGGGAGAAACGAACGAGAAGAGCCTCCCGACTCTCCGAACGACTCGCGCGCGCATGCGCAGTGGCGTCGTGGATGCGTTCGAGGGCGAACCGTTCGTGTGGAAACGACCTGCTAAAACTTCCTATTGCTTGTCGATGAAACGATCTGTCGACGAAACGTCGTTCTATGAACTGATTACCGACGCCAAAAGGAGGCGACTGCCGGTAGAATTTCGGTAAAATCATTCTCCTTGCTGCCAAGAGAATAGGCGCTGCCTTTAAGCACGTACTCTAAAGCATGGAGCGCATCAGCGATGAAAGTCTTCACCGCGCGGTGCTCGCCGCTCGCAGCTAGGCGCGCCACAGGCGCCCCGCGCGGCTATTATTTGTACTGATCACAACTGAGCGACGCCGCGCCGAGGTGGGGTGACGTCATTACGCCAGCACCGGTTGCTGTGATACTGCCGCCTGGCGCCCGTTTTCATCGCTCATGTGTCCCCCGCTTCAGAATCAAGCCAAATGCTCGCTGTTACATTTATAACCCATACTCACTTCCTCATTGCCTTTCAGTTCCAATGTGCAGTACTCGCAAGCAAGTTTCTTTTTTCCACAATGCTCCCTGTGTTCCTGTAATGAAATTTATAGATCAGGCTATCTAGAAGAATAAACGAAAGCATCAACCACTTTGACCAATGTCACCCTATCTATAAAACAAAGCCAAGAGCTTCTAGCTCTAGCAGTTTATCTCAATATCTTGTATACAAGATCAACTTTGAAGTACTGTGGTCAAGGCTCCAGGTTGTTGTTGTTGAACAATATGTTTTCTTGTTTATTTTTTACTTTTTTGTTGCTTTGAAGCAGAGTTACGTTGGTGCAACTTTTATTATATTAATACAGCCGCACGAACATCCCATGTTGAATTACATATTTATATCACTGCAAAAACGATATACATAATATAAGTTATAGTTATTTTCACGAAGCAGTTAATATTTAATATTTTATTGAATTATTTAAAACTGTATATTTTATTAGCAAGCATTATTAATTGGATGCTAATAACAAGAATGTATATATATTACAGCGAATGACGCCTCTACATTGAAGGCTTCGTTCGCCAACAGGATTTGTTTTTTGGAAAGCAATGACTCGCTCAAATTTATTAGAGACTAAAATATGTCAATATTGCATTCCGTCATCATTGAAACGGCTCTAAAAACGATCGGTTGCTCGGCTTTACTACAAATATAATTGAAAAACGAAAATGCTTTTTTTTTTTTATAAAAAACGAAGTATTTGTGATTAATATTTTGCTCTCGAGCGCGAATATGGCAAGTCAGAGACGACAATAAAAAAATTCCTCGGTTCTTCACGCTCCTGTTTATTTTTATTATTTAAAAACAAAACATATTGGAGCTTTCAAGCGTAGAGATGTGTCTTTTGAATAGTTCACCCTAATACAAACATTTAAAGAATGCCAAAAATTATAAATGTACTACACTTCCTGAACTCAAATGAAACCAACCAATCATTTTGTGTGATAACAGCTTTTCTGCCAGTATTTTATAGCGTGCAACAAAGCTATCTGAGAGGCCTGTACTTTTGACCAGAGGTAGGCAATTTTGGTCACCCTCACTCACCCTCACCCTCACAGCCACGCTCACCTAAGCCCCTCACTCACCCTCACCCTCACAGCTACTCTCACCTTCAGCCCCTCACTCATCCTCGTCCTCACAGTCACACTCACATTCAGCCCTTCACTCGCCCTCACTGAACGTCACGGCCCTCACGCCCCTCACGCACTCATCGCCCTCACGGCCTTCACGCACTCATCGCCCTCACGGCCTTCACGCCCCTCGCCGCCCTCACGCACTCATGGCCCTCACGCCACTCACCGCCGTCACGCCCCTCACTCAGTCATGGCCCTCACGCCCCACACCGCCCTCACGGCCCTCACGCACTCATAGCCCTCACGCCACTCACCGTCGTCACGCCCCTCACTCAGTCATGGCCCTCACGCCCTTCACCGCCCTCACGGCACTCACCGCCCTCACGCCACTCACTGCCCTCACGCCACTCACTGCCCTCACGCCACTCACCGCCGTCACGCCACTCACCGCCGTCACGCCACTCACCGCCGTCACGCCACTCACTCAGTCGCGGCTTTCACGGCCCTCACGCACTCATAGCCCTCACGCCACTCACCGCCCTCACGCCACTTACCGCCCTCACGCCCTCACGCACTCACCGCCCTCACGCACTCATGGCCCTCACGCCACTCACCGCCCTCACGCCCCTCACTCACTCACCACCCTCGTGGCCCTCACAGCCCTCACGCCCCTCACGCACTCATGGCCTTCGCGCCACTCAGGCCAGCTTCAGATGGGGTAATTTGGCCCAGAAACTTGACGTCACAACACCAGCAACACGGGCCGCCCGCATTAACACGCAGCAATTAATTGCTGCAATTTGCCATCATCACCATAAAATTTTTTTTTGCACTATTTAGACACAATTACGCGTTATAAACGTGTTTTTATGCATTTAAATCTTGTTGAGAATACTAATGTACCTTTCTGAAACAGTTTATTTCCAAAAACAATCGATTTCAAACCAGAACCAAGTCTTTCGGTGTCATCATCTCCGGCACGAGGTATGACGTGAAAATTTTGAGTCCCTCATTGGATGCAGCCGCTTCAAACGTCTTCGAATTGCTCCGAGTTGCTTGATTATTTCGAGCCGGACCCTATCTCAGCAATTCGTGTCGATCTAGGGAAAGCTAGAGAACAACCCGCCATCAACACCAAAACTGCTGAGAAAGATGCTCTGTCTGAAGGGGGCCTCACGCACTTACCGCCCTCACGCCCCTCACGCACTCATGGCCCTCATACCCCTCATGCACTCACCGCCCTCACGGCCCTCACGCCCCTCACGCCTCTCATGCCACTCACTGCTTTCATGCACTCATGGCCCTCACACCCCGCACCGCCCTCACACCCCTCACGCACTCATGGCCCTCACGCCACTCACCGCCCTCACGCCCCTCACGCACTAATGGCCCTCATACCCCTCACCGCCCTCACGGCCCTCACGCACTCACGGCCCTCACCGCCCCCGCACCCCTCACGCACTCATGGCCCTCACGCCACTCATGGCCCTCATACCCCTCACCGTCCTCACGGCCCTCACTCACCCTCATACTCATGAATTTTCATGGTTCAGAAACTTACTTACCCTCACCTCATCTGTGAGGATGAGGAAGAGTGAGGGTGAGTGAGGGTGAGTGAGGGCCCTCATGAGTGAGGTTTGCCGAGGTATGCTTTTGACGGCTCGTAGGAAGTGTGGTGTCTAGTATCAGCATTGCAACCTCAACTGCTCTCTTTCCAAGAAAATCATTAATAAACCCCACTTAAATCGCCCTCCCTTTAGAATCAGTAGAAGATTAGACAGAGGTGTACCTTAAGACATAAAATCAAGAAATATTTAACCGTACAATAATATATATTTTAAGTATAGATAATTATCCTGATCTTTGTATAACCCTTCTCTGTGTCTTGCATTAGCACGTTTTCGAAACAAACCACGTGGCTATGACAATATGTTCGGTAACCTACTATCGTAGACACTGTTAGCTGTAACACCGCACCGGCGGCCGTCCCGTACCTCCAGCGCCAAAAGCAGGTGCCGTCGGAAACTCCGCGAATACGCCGTGTGGCGGACTCGTTCTTCCCGCCTGCGAGCACATCCTCGCTTTGTCGTCTGCTTGGCGGAGAGCAGACGACGCCACAGCGCTTGCCAATTTTCGCTGAACACGGTTAAGCGAACCACCGCGTAAGACGAGCCCACGGTTGATCCCCTGACTCATGGATATGTGTCCGCTGGCTAAGTATAATCATCGCCACTAAATGTAATTTTTTATGTAGTTTAACTTCAGGTAGTTTAACTTCAGGTCCGAGCGCAACTGACACTACGAGACGATAGGGCCAACCAAGCAGTGACAAAAGCGCACTTTTTGCACCTGATTGGGTACCCCGGTGATGCACTCCGCCACGTTGCACCTTTGCCGCTATTTGACTGGCTCGGTCGTTTCGTAGCGTACGCTGCGTTCGGACTTAAAGTGAAACGGAGTATAACAATTAGTTCTGCATCACACCTGCTGCACCCATACTGGTCTGCGAACGCATATTATTAAAAATGGATTTCGCAAGCCTGTTTCTGAAAAAGCAAAAACAAAAACGTAGACAGGATTGATGTCCCAATGACTCTGCAGTCTGCCCCAATAAAAATCGCCGGTTGAAAATGAGTTTGAGATTAGTTCGCTCTGGCGAGGATATCAGACGAGCAGAGACGGCTGATGGTCGATCTGTGCCTAAAAGAGTATTCTCAGCGAGCGATCGTGGAAATGACTGGCAGGCCGCTGCCTACAGTCAACCGTATTTTCCAAGCGTACCGGGTCGATGGGCCGATAAGCGACGCCGCACGCAAGCCACGTTCTCGATATACGACAGTTGAAGAGGACCGGCTGCTTTTTGCTGCTCTGGCAGCAAATCCTTTGCACTTTCCACACTTTATTAACTGAACGAAATGGATGTAAAGAAATAAATTGCTTTATCTAATGCAGTGTCTTTATTTTAATATTCCGCATTTTGAAAACAGATTGGGAAGCATTTGAAAGAAGAAAAAACCCATCAACATCCGTCAGTATATGGAAGGATTTACGCTACTGTCGTGCCTAGCTTACATTATCCGTTAAAGTCACCGGTTGTTTGGGAGACACGTTTTGACGAGTCAGGGAATCATCCACAACAGCGCAACATACGCCACGAAGCCGTGTTCAGCGAACACTGGCAAGCGCTGTTGCGTCGTCTGCTCTTCGCCTAGTAGACGATAAAGCGAGGGTATGCTCGCAGGCGGGAACAGCGAGTCCGCCACACGGCGTATTCGCGGAGTTTCGGACGGTGCCTGCTATGTGGCGCTGGGGGTACGGGACGGCCGCCGCTGCTGTGTTACAGCTAACAGTGTCCACGATAGTACATCTGTACGGTACATGGGCCGTGTCTCCGACTAGAGTGTTTCCCGACACCTAAAAATAGTCCGTCCAGTTCCACCTGATGACGTCACAGAAGTGTCATGTCGCCAGGTGCGATCCTGGCGGTGTCACAGCAGCGGTTGTGAACCTGACAGACGCCTGTTCTGCTGCATGTCGCTTTCCACATCGACAGTGTCAAGGAGGCTTTAGCAGCCTGGAGTTGGGACTCCAAGACGACAGTGACACTCGCGTTCACACGTACTTTTTGCCGTTACTCGTAGCACCAAACGTCAGCCTCGCGACATCCAATAACAAGACAATTTGACTTTTTTGACGTCATTTGTTATCGTTTCGGGACCCCTTTTGATACCAGCACGGGATAGGTCCCTAAACACATCAGTCGAAGACGCGTTCCAGGTACCGTAGTAGAACCAATCGCGAATTATTCCTCACCTTTTCTGAAGAGTAGGGATAAAATCCATCACAGTTCTCGCAGCACACAGCACGCATTGGGCACTCGGAGGCATGCTTGGACTCATCCTTCCTGAGTATCTCACCCTTACAGTCCTCGCAGACCAGTGGTTTCTCGAGGCATTCTTGGCCATGATCCTTCAAATTGCGATAAAATATATAAAACATGCCGGACTGTGGTTAGAAACTATACATATGAAATCGCCTTATTAATGGTAGGGCCATCAAGACTTTGTTTTGACTAGCTTAGTCACGCGCCTTGTATTGGTCTTTAGAACTTATATTCGATAACTGTTGTCTAATAATTTTTACAATGTCGCTTTCTTTCGCTCACTTGAATGCAACGCGGTATTTTGTTTCGGTACTGTAAGGTAATGTATTCGGTAGAAATAGAATCTATCACAGCATGTTTTGACACGAAACCACGTTCACCTCAGTTGTTAATGGCTTGTATCTTTGGTTCTATTATTCAAGCATAGGTAATATCGCTGGTCAGCTGGTACACATTTTTGATGCGCACTAAAAAGGTGCAACAAGGTAAAAGATAGAGAAATAGTATTAGCTAATATCTTTTGACCTTTTCAGTTTATTCGAGATATGATATCATTTAATACCCATCAACAGTGATCTTAAAAATGCGAACGCCTTTAAAACTAGGCAGTGCATATACACATATATTAAACATTGTTTTTGTCAAGAATGCCTCAACGACTTCCACTGAGCGCAAATATCGATTGAAGAAAAGTTTTAATGTTGCACAAAGTGAGCATCACGAACATAGAACTGTAGGTATACTCCAAATAAAATAAATATATGCCTCACACCATGACAATATGCAGAGTGTTTAATTTTATTCCGAATTGTTTTCTGTAAAAGAGTGAGAATTGCAAGATTGCCGTATTCAGAACAAATTTATCGTGCTCCACGCACATTAATTAAGGAAATAACCGTCACTGTAAGATGTCTGACAATTTAGCAACTCTTGATCAACGTTTTAAATGTTGGTTTTATGGGGCACATTGCAATTGCTTTATTGCCGGCCTTTACTATTAGGGGCTAGAGCATTTGAAAGAGATTGCAAACAGGCAATGATTTTTGGAGTCATCGATCAGTTGTCGCTTTTTGTTTTTTACACCTGATTTTAAAAATTGCGCCCAAAAAGAGCGCCCGAAGCCCTGCTCATAATGACACTTAGAAGAGTGACTTTGTAATCTCAATCACGTTGTCACTGGGCATATTCTTCTTTTTTTTTATCTGGACTAGCCTGCACCGGTGCAGAAAAAATGCGAGTTAATATACTTCCTTTGTATTCAGAACTGCTGCACCCGTAAATCGAATACGGCGGTCTTCACCAAGTGCAGCTGCTGCAGGAGGTGAAGGTGAATCGAACCAGACCACTATATTGGTGGCGCGTCCTTGTTAGTGGGGCCGACAAACACACTCTTGAGATAGTGACGACCTGACTGACGACTACGTCACTCGTCTGGAGGTCATTGTGGGCCGGGCTTCGGACGCTTTTTGTGCGCGCCATTTTGAGCCAGTTTTTGTTTTGATCTTTTCTTCTTAGTAATATCGGGACCATATCCACATCTCAACAGGAATAAAAGAGAAATAAAGAGACAGAAAAATCTGCACTTTTTACGCTCCTTAAAAACGACTTACGCCAAGTGTATGATAAAACACTGCACCGTTGCAGGCGTCACAAAGGACTAGTCGATTCTGACACTCCATGTCTTGATGATTTTGAAGGTTTTCGTTGAGAACGTTGACGCCGCAGTCGGAGCACTTCCTTTCGATCTTCGGACACTCAGACCTGTGTTTCTGGGAAAAGGCATAAAGGTATAAAAGACTGATTGAAGGCTTATCTCCGACAATGAGGGATGCCTACCTTACTTTGGTGATCGACACGAGATGAGACACAAGATGATTCTATTAACAAATGCTGACGTATTTTTGGGTTATGATTATATATTTTGTGAAACAAACACAGACCAGCAATATTTCTTCGGAAGGAGAGGTCAGGAAAGCCTTAGGTTATTTTCATTGTTGACACGCGAGTAGTGCGGTGAAAGTTGTGCAGTAGGAAGCGAACAGAAAGATTTTGAACGGTTTCTAGTGATAATGCAAATGTATTGGCTGGATTCCAGATGGAGGCATAGTACTCCAGTTTAGTGCGGACCAAGGATTTGTAGAAAATACGTTTTAGGGACGATGGTGCACAGGAGAAGTGTCTTCCAAGGTCGCCCGGTATGTAATTATCAATATCAATTATATACTCAATATGAACGTTCCATGAGAGTTTGTTAGCCATCCGTATACCAAGAAATTTATATGAAGCTAAAGAGTCCAGTGCAAAATTTTCGATGTAGTAAGACGGACAAGTGTTATTATGACGTGTTACTCTCATGGATTTAAACTTTCTGATATTCAGCTTCATTCGCCATTGATCGCACCGACGGGAAATATGATTAAGTTCACTTGGAAGTGACTGGACATCAAAATCATTAGTAATTTCAGAATAAATAACAGAGTCTTCAGCGAACTTCGAGGGCCTTTAAGGGAACTTGAATAAATAAATAAATTTAAATTTCAGATACATAGTTTGCTAAATAGTGTCTTTGCAATATCCCTGGCATTCGCCGTGGGTGAACGTTTGTTTCCTAAGAAAGTTTCTTTCTTAGAGAACACTTTTCGCATAAACTCTCGGTATAAAAAACAGAAGGAACCCGCAAGGACATCGGCACACCCTGAAACATGCTGTTCATCGCACACGAAAAAAAACTTCGATTCTTGTGGGGTGTGGTGCAATCCGGAGCACAGGTTCGTCTGCTTCTTGCACAGGTGTCGTGATTTCAGAACGCCGAGCTCTTATTGACTGATTGAAAATAATTAAATAGATCACAAAGCATCTAGCATTGACGTCTATCCACTAACCTTCCAACCAAAGCCAATTAGAACTCGGCTTCATTCTGACGTCATCGCAGCCTTTTCGCAAGACGCAGATGACTTGCTTTCCGCATAGTAATGAGTCACAGGGAGGACGGTGCATGAAAAATGGCCCCGACGAGTTCTAAAGTTACGTCTTTTTTATACAGGCATTTACGCGATGTCTTCTCATTGCTCTAAACTTCAAACAATGGGTTCACAACATTTTGTTATGTGCTTTTGGTTTGTATATAGTATCTGTTTATGCGAAAACATTTCAATAACATACCATAATATAATTGTTTAGTTCTTTGTGGAATGCATTGTTGTGGCACATCCCGTGTAAAGCATCAAGTTATTCTAGTAGGTAAACAATTAGGTAGAAATAGTACGAGTGGAAGTACAGTGGTGCACCCTTTCTACACTAACACAGATAGAGGAACATTGCATTATTAAATACTCTTTAGTCCCATCTTACAAAACGCTATACAAAGTATAATTTGTAATTATAGCCAGCAAGCAATAATTATATAATGTAGTAATAAATTATTTAAAAGTGTATAACATATGAGCACTTCAGTGTTTTCATTAGGGGCTAATAATTTATAAAAATGTATTACAGCGAATGACGCCTCTGCGTTGAAAACTTCCTGTACGAACAGGGCGTGCTTCTGCAGAACGGTCAGCTGCCCAAAATTATTTGAGTAGAATGTATCAATAGCGCATTAAGTCGCCAATGGCTCTGCTGTAAGAAAATATTGGCTGCTCGTCTTTACTACGAATACCTACAAAAAATCAAACAATAATTGTTTCCCGATCTGTAACGTATCTGTGCATAATAGTCTTAAATCCAGCGCGAATTTAGAATGTCCCGGATGGCAATTGCAGTCTTTCCCGCTCCTTAACTAACATGTGTTGATTAACTTCTTAATTGTTTTTATGGGTCTCGTTGAAATCGCGTTATTGGCTGAAATTACTATTAGGGGCCACGTCAATTCAAAGGGTTTGCCTAGAGGCAATGGATTTTTTGAGCCATCGACCGGTTTTCGCCATTTTTCTCCAAATTTCAAAATTGCACCTGAAGATAGTGCCCGAAGCCCTGCTCACAATGAAGTTTCAAAGCGAGACGTTCTCGCCTCAGTCACATTTTCACTGGGCTCATACGATTTACCGGCATCAGCCTGCGCCGGTGCAGAAAATTGCAAATCAATGTACTATAGGGCAGTGTTGTACGGAACGGCGTTCTAAGGAACGCCTTCCTTTTAGGAGGAACGAAGGAACGCCATCGTTCCATTTTGCATCGGTAAAACTGGAACGGGAACTCGTTATAATTTCACTGGAACGGAAAAAGGAACGGCGTTCTTTTTTTTTTTCGTCCAGTGATGTCATTTTATTTTTATTTCTAAGAGAAAATTTTTAAAAGTATAAAAACTATATCTTTACGAAGAGAGGTTTCCCGTTAAGGTTTTGATTACTTATCTTAGGGTTTATTTTGTGCGCTCTTCGCTAGGTAACAGTTGGTTGGGTACAAGAGAGGGGAGAGCTAGTGGACATTGATTCGTTTTTCAGCGCCCAACGCTGCGGTATAAAAAGCAAAAGTTTTAGTCAAAGAAAACGGCACAAAAAGAAGGTCGTTTCAAACTCAACTACTTTCTTTGCTTCCGCGAATCCTCATACACGCAGAATTCTAAGGCCGACTACAGCCGTCAATAAACTTCCACAGAGAGACCCACCGTTAGAACAAAAGAACATGTTACCAGATATCGAACGCACCCTTCTGTTCGAAACATTGGTCACTTAAAAAATTCACAAAACAATTTGCCCGTTATTCCTTCTCATCTTGTCCTCCACCTTCAAACTGAACTACGAATCCAACCTTCACAAAGAAGGACTTGTAGACTGATCTTCCAAATGCCCTACCCTCTTCTTCAATTCTTCGTCTTGCAGACAGCAACATCGAGAAGCAACTGTTGTCAAGTTCGAACACGGGACTGTGTTAGATTGAAACGTGTAAGGGTTGTAAAACGCTCCTGAAGTCTGAAGTAACAGTGCGATTGGCTCGTCTTAATCGCCCACCACAAATATGAATATGGATAAAAGCTGAGATTTTTAATGGTGAATATATCAAGAAATATAACTCCTGCTTCCGCTGGTTTTCTTCTCCAGGTGCCCTTCCATCATGTCATTCAAATTCTTATGTTGCCATTTGATGGGATACAGAAGAATAAAACTTGGCTCGATCCAACCAAATATGATAATCAGCAAAATACAAATGTGACGTAAATGCAACATTACGTTCCATTTTTTAGGTATAACGGGAACGTGTTCCCGTTTTAGATATGGATCTTCTAAAGGGAACACGTTCCGAAAATCAGAAGGAACAAGCTTTCGTTCTTTTTTTTTTCTGGGGGGGGGGGGGGGGGGGGGGGGGATCGTACAACACTGCTATAGGGTACAAATGAAATGCGAACAGCGGAGCACGTGGCCGTTGGTACATGCTGCGCCGACTGATGAAACCGCGGGACGGAGTGTAGAGCGCCGCGAGGGTGTGCGTACTACTCCAATCTGTTTGACCCTCGTTCAGCACAACACAAGCTTCGATGCTGCGCCGATGGTGCGCTGGAACTTTCGTCCCATGCACTTTCGTTGACTTGGCATGAGCCATGCAAGGATGCTCGCCGCTCGCAGCAGGAGCAGGCTGCTTGCGCACGCGCCTCGCGAGCGCGGCTGTAGAGCATTACCGAACGTCATGCTCCCACCCAAATTCCGCAGGATTTTTTTTTCTTCTTATTTTCTTAATACGCGATGTCATGGTAGTCAAGTCTGAGTGGGAGCGGCTGCCAGCTTTGGACCTGCTATCCCGCCTGACGGAAGGTAGACGTCGTTGGATGGTTGCCGTTGCAGACGCTGAAGGCAACTTCACGAACTATTATTTGGCCACTCACTAAGACCAACCTAGTGAAATACAACAACGAAAGCAAGGAGGCCGAGACATGTACTGCAGCGGCGCTGGCCGTGGCATCAGCCTTTGCCGGGCTCAGTATTTGTCTTCTCTACTTGTTTAATATTTCTGTTTGCACAAATGCTCCCTGGCAATAAACATGACATTTCCCGTTCACGCTGTTTCACTATTTTACAGGAGTCATGCGCTCTAAGTCCTTCACGAGGACGTCTGCGTGGTTCTGATATAATTCGATCAAGCTCCACAGGTTTTCCCTGCACGAAGGCATTGCTTTAACTTCTATTTCACACTTCTAACACACGGTGTAGTAATTTAACGAGAATAGCGTTATGTCAATGTCAATGATAATGTTAATGTCAATGCATTGCGTTAACATGTTTCGTGAATACGGGAGCTCGCGGACCTGCATTTTGGCAATCCTAGCGCCACACACGAGACACAAGAACTAGAGGAGACACAGGGAGAGCACTGGAAGCTGATGCATAAACTTTTGCAAGGTAATTGACTTCAATTAGGCGTCAGCAGCTGTCCTTGGTCTTTAAACCCGTCAAACACAAAGTTGGGACCGAAGTTCACGGAGTGTACTGATTGAACTATCACGACAATGACTTCAAACTTTTGTCGCCGGCGTCCAATCAGCGTAGCGTTGAAGCTTGGGTTGTGCAGGTCCGCGAACTTTCGGCTCCAACTTTGTGTTTGACGAGTTTAGGACCCAGGATCCCCCCTTGTTTTTTTATTTCGAATTCCGCAAAGTTCCTGCTATACTGTTCACAAGAAATTACAACGGCTATTAAGAGAAGAAAATATAACTGCACAAGTCAGAAGGGGGCATGACGCTGCGGTAAGGCTCCACGGACGCCTGCCCGAGGCTTCTCCTGCTGCGAGCGGCGAGCTTCCTCGCGTGGCTCATGCCGAGCCAACGAGAGCGGCTGGG